CCCCAAAACCCCAAAACCCCATTGCTATATGATAAATAAATATTGCTTAAAATCAAATTATTATTAATTTATTAAAGGCAGTTTCGCTTATAATTAAAGATAAAATTTCTATAAAAATGGAAAGTACTCAAAATTTAGCCTAGTCAGACAACTAGAACTAAGAAGAGTAATATGATCATGTCATTTTATCATGGTAACCATATAACGGCATGAGGCACGCACATCTTACCAGGAAAGAAATATATGATTAAAGAGATTAGAAATCATAAATAGCTATCGTCCCAGCTCTAATGTTATTCATGCCTATGACGCATGATGTATTGCTTCCTAACTATCCAATTCCAAATCTCCTCGATGGTATAATAATGAAGCCTGATCATTCTTCATTCAAAATATTAAAGGTAGGAGGAAACACTGAATCAGGAACTAAATCAGTTAATATTGGGTTTGTGAATTGCTCCTTTAATTATAAAGATATGAGTCTTTGTGACTATTGCCCTAGGAATCTAGTTAAAAGAGCAATTTTGGCCCTTTAGTAAAAACACAATATATCTGTTAAAATTGGATATGAAATAGAATTTAATGTTCTTGATATGGATGGAAAGCCTATTAACAAGCATAGTGGGCTGAACTTAGATGCTCTTTTAAAGCAATCCGATGTTTTAATAAGAATCTCAAATGAACTTAATTCACAAGGGGTAAGGGTACTAAACATGCATAAAGAATCTTCTCATGGCTAATATGAGATTGTCCTAGATTATGATGACGTTCTGAAGTCAATAGATAACTACAATTTTGCCATTCAAGTGATAAAGCAAAACTTCCAAAGAGAGGGCAAGTAAATTAGTCTCCTCCCTAGGCCTTTTGAAAATTAGTTTTGTAATGGACTGCATATACACATGAGTATTTGGAGAGATGGCAAAAACATTCTCGGTGATTCTGCTGGGCAACATTTGTTGACAGTTGAAGGATAATAATTCATGGCTGGTATCCTTGAACATTCAAGTGCCATAAACCATTTTCTAGCACCTAGTCCAAATAGTATGAAAAGAATTCAATCGCATATGTGTGCAGGCACATTTAAAATATGGGGGTTAGAAAATCGTGATGCAATTCTTAGACTTATTTAGACAGACTCAGTTGAAGGCAGACCAACTCATTTTGAATTGAAAGCGCTGGATCATACTGCTAATTAATGTTTTGCTTTAGCCTCTGTTCTTGTTGCTGCTACAAATGGTCTAGACAAAGAGATGAAGCTACCTCAGCCTGTAAACGATGTTCCATTATTCATACCTGAAGATGCTTGGTAAGAAAAAGGCATTACAATCTTGCCCCAAACTTATGAAGATAGAAAAGTTGCTGTTTATTCAGAAGAAAATAAAGTACTTTTAGAGTTCTTTGGCAAGCCCTTAATCGATAATATTTTCCTTATATCTGATGAGGATTTCAAGGAACTTGATGGGAAATCAATTTCAGAGCAATTTGAGCTTTTGAACTCAAAGTTTTGATGCAATAATGTGATTTTTATTTCAACGAAATTTGATTTTTTCTTAAAAACATCTCTTGGGGTTTTGGGGTTTTGGGGTTTTGGGG